GGACATTACAGAACACACCCATGACTGGGTTGTCCTGCTTATTAAACCTAACTGTGAGTGACATTCTGGGGAACTCATGCTTCTAGTTCTACCTAATGCCACATATGAAGTAGCGGAAGAAATGCTGGAAAATGAGACAGATTGCCAGTACATTCCGGAGAAAGCCCCACTAGATAGTGTCCATCAGCATGATCACTTCCTGTGGGAGTCGTGATCCAGCTAGCCGAGGGCTTATTGCTGGAGCAGTCTTGACACAGTTTGATCAACTTATCAGAAAAAATTTGGAATGACAGTATCTGCTCCCAGATTACGTTGGAATCTTTCCAGAAATACAGAGATAGTTTGGCTTATCATGTTACATGGGTTATTTTAAAAGGTAGTGAAGACTGCATCAGTGCAATCGCAGCATTATAAATCAGAACAGTGCTTGTCAAGGGGCATTACCACACACTTGAACAGATTTTTGGCAGATGACCTGGGAATAAGGCTCCTCCATGGTTGTATTGTTGACCACATAAGTTTAATGAGGAAGAGTTAAATGACACCAATGTTGGCCAGAACCCACAGGAAGTTCATCCTGTGGATGCAAGCCATCTGCCATTCAGAAGGAGGAAGCACTGCCTTTATCTTCAGGAAGATCACACTGCTGTTTAACAAAGAGAGAAACGATAGACTCTTCCATCACTGAGTTCCATTACATAGGTTGGCCTGACCGTGGAGACCCTGATGATGCAGTGACTTTCTGGGTTTTGTTTGTCATGTACAAAATAAAAAGGCCGGCAAGGAAAAACCCATTGTTGTTTTCTTGCAATGCTGGAGTTTGAAGAACTAGGGTTTTATCATTATGATTACTGTGGAAACAGCCATGTGTCTCATTGAATGCAGTCAGCGAGTTTATTCACTAGATATGGTAAGAACAATGAGAGAGCAGTGAGCCATGATGGTCCAAACACCTAGTCATAACATTTTTTGCTTGTGACATGCTGTTTTGAAAGCTTATGAAAAAGGCTTTGCTAAAGAAAGCAAAAGAAAGAAAAGAACTATGTCATCTGTTAGGTTCTATTTAAATATTGCATGATAATTGTGTTTTTATTGATTATTGGGTAAGTAGCTATTTGCTATTTTGATCTTATTTCAGAAGGGCATAATAATTTTATTATTCAATGAAATGTTTTAAACTGAGTAGAAAAAGACTATGGTTTTTGTATATTTTACAGCAGAAACCTTATGATTAACTGGTAATATATTTTGTTGGCATAAAAATACATTTAAAAGTTCAAGTGATTATAAACAGTGTAAACTGTATATGTAATCTTATTCAAATTGAAATTCTTTATAGCTGTACATCTATGTAATCAAAGACTTCTTGTGGGGAGAAATAGACTAGCGATTTCTCCTATCCATTAATCATTTAACACAGTTTTTAATAAAAAAAAAAATCCATTTCATTGGATAATAATAATGACAGTTTAACATATTTTAGATGGTTACTATGTTCTAGGTGTTGTGTGAAGTAGTTTACATGGCTTCACTTATTTCACTACAACCCTAGGAGGAGCAGTTAAGATTATTACAGTCATTTTACAGGCAAATAAATAGGTATGAAGAAGTTGGGCGTTTTGCCCAAGTTCTCATCGTAAAGTGATGGATAAGGACTCAAATTCAAGTCTTAATTCAAGTCCGGTACTTTAGAGCCTACCTCTCAGTGGCTCTTACATTACAGTACAGGAGAGAGTAAAGCGTTCTTCTACCTTCTTAAGGTAGCTAGGGCTTGTGAATTAAGAGATTAACAGGAGATGAGAAATGCACATTTTGTTGATATTAATATTTTTATATGCACAGAGTCCTTGGGAAATAAAACTCAAAGGAGTGTTTTATTTTTATTTTTATCTGTATTTTAAAGAGACAGGGTCTTGCTTGCTATGTTGCCAGGGCTGGACTCAAACTCCTGAACTTAAACAATTCTTCTTTTTGAGCCTCCTCAGTATTGGGGACTATAGGTGTGCCCCTCTGTGCTTGGTTAAAGGGGGTTTGTATGTGATTTTTAACAAAGGATGATAAATTGTAAAGAAAACTAGTAAAAGGAAAAGAGAGTTTCAGCTCCCGAGGTGGCAAATTATAGGAAGATGACTAGGAAATGTATAGTAATAAGGTTTGCTGTGCAGATTTATTTTGCCAGTTTTGGTCTCCCAGTAAGGGACAGGGAAACACCTTTACCAATGGAAATTCTTATCACCTTTACACAGGCAAATGTATGCCATGCCTTAAGCAGTTAGGGAGAGGACAGAGAACTCTTCTTGTATCTGCTGTTTCTCAGCTGCCTTCAGCTCATAATAATCCTTATGCCAAAGTAGCTTGTTTTGGTGTAACATATTCTCTGATCCCTTTCAACAGCATCACATATACTTACCGACAATGAAAATTTAAAAAAAAAAATTTCAAGTTTTGCATGCAGAAGGCAAATGGACATTATTGAGATAAATGAAGAATATAAAGAATATAATATAAATTCTTAGAAAAGAATATAAATATACAGCATGAATACTGTATATGTCTCTGTGACATTGTGATTTGGAGGCATGTGATTAATTTAGATTCCATATTACTACCTGTTTTTAAGATTAAAAGAGTCTTTAGGCAGTTTATATATCATGGGAGCAAATTAAAACAACACAGATGTGATCAAGGTAAGGTGAAACTAGTCCACATCTAATCCAGGTCTTCTTGTGAAAGCCAGTTTGTGCAAGATAAATAAGTTTGTTTGACTAAAGCAGAATAGTTTTTCATTTGCAATGAAGATAATTATTCAAAAATCATTTTTATTGGCAGCCTCTGCATTAATCAATGGAAAGAGAATTTTTTTTTTTTTTCTGTAAAGGGATGTGTGATGAGTTTTTAAAAAGTGGATGAACCTAAAATTAAATAATCATGAAGAATCAATTATAATGAACTTAAAGAGTTATGAAAAGCAAAAAGAAAAGCCATATGTTTTCATGTGCCTTATTTTGAAGTGACCAATTATCTGTAGGATACATTCATAGAAGCAAGTAATGTGATTTTAAAAATGAGTACTAGATTTACAGAACGATGCCTTTAAAAAGGCACTGGTCCTCTTAAATTATTTTATTTATGTTCATTCCAAAATTACCTTTATGTTAAAAATCAGATACAGCTTTATCTACTGGCAACAAAAGTGTAAACAATAATTTAGTAAACATCTGTGAAAAACCAGCTTGGCGCTAGGCTCTCAGGGTAGAAAATTGATCAGGCCATGGAGGAGTGCATAGGCCATAAGGAGCTAGGGACTTGTTATTAGGTGTCCAGCGTGTTCTAGATGCTTCTGAGGGAGTGTGGGCAGGTGCTCACCACCATGCCTGGCTAATCTTCTTATGTTTCTGTAGAGACAGAGTCTGGCTGTGCTGCCCATGCTGGGTTTGAACTTCTGGGCTTAAGAGACCTTCCCACTCTGCCTCACTGCCTCTGCCTGCCCATTCCTTCCCAGCCTCCCAAAGCACTGGGGTTGCAGGCGTGGGCCACCATGCCTGGCCTGTGCAAAACTTTTAAATCAGTGCAAATGCAATTGTCTTGATGCAATTCTGGCTTCTTGGTAAGAGAATGGGGATTTACTCACAAGCCAGGATGTCACTTTTAACTCTGAACAGATCAAATTATTGGTTTTACTAATTTATGCCATCAATAAACTTTATTAATAAAAACTCATTGGGCAAATATTTAAACATAGTATGTACATAGCACTGTGCAGTTTCTAAGGAAAGTAATGGAAACCTCAGTCACATCTCTGGCTTCCAGAACTTTATATTATCTAGGTGCATTTATCTACAAAGTTGTCGGGTTAATTGTCCCTCTCTTTTTTCTCTTTGCAAGATATTAATAAATAGTGTCACAACCAAAAGATAATACTTATGGAAAAGATAGACCTAAAAAGCCTTAGCTAATTGATAATCTTGCATAATCCATGATTACAAGATACAGAAATAAAAATGTCCTGAATAAACATTGTTAGCAGCCATTTCCTTTTAAGTCTTTACAAGTGTACTCCCAGTTTCCTTAAAATTTTATTTTAAAATATATAAGACACACAAAACAACAGAAAGACTAATAGAGGTACATTGAACACCTGTGTACCCCCCACCCAGTTTAAAAATAAACTGGCTGGTGGACCAGAGGCCCACTGCGTGCTTCTCACCAGCTCCTCCTTCATACTGCAAGTTGCCCTTTTCTTAAATTCTGTTCTTGGTGGAGACGAAGTGAGTCCTAATCATGGAACCATGTTTCTCTCATACTTACAGAATAAAGTTTTAATCCTTAGCATGGAATTCAAAAGACTTCTGGCATTCCAGTTCAGAACCACCCTTCCAGTCTTCTTGCTCATCACCTGTGACACTGCCTGTGTACCCAAAGGCCTTCAGCATTACTGCTTCCATTCGTTCTTATTTTCATGAACATTTTCCTTCATCTCATCTGCCAAAATTCCACCTAATGATAATCCTTCTGCTCTGCAGTTTACAGTTCTTTAAAAAAGGTTGGGTGTCCTTCTAGTTTCCTGAAAAAAGAAAAAACAAAATTTAAAACATGAAAAAGTACTGTATTTTCATAGTATTTGCATGATGTCTTATTACAGTTCCTGAAGACATGTCTGGCTCTTTTACTAGATTGATTGTAGGCTCTTTGAAGGAAGATTTGTCTTAAGATCAGTGTTTTATGTATTGTTAGCAATCAATAAATGCTTGCTATATTTTTCTCATGAGCATATTGATTATTCGATTTTAATTTATGACCATTAACCTGTCTATACATAACTGTTTTGTGTACATGAGCTATTTATGATCTCTGAGGCTCCTGTGAGAAATCTAATTTTTGTCAATCATGGATGGAAATACTCACATCATTTGTCTGTCAATTTCTTCACATTGTCTTTGTATATTACAGTAGCAGATATTTTAAAATATCAAAGTAATTTTTTTTGTTTTATCTTTTAGATATTGCTATATGGAGATTTGCCAAAAAATAAAGAAAATATAATATATTTAGCAAATCATCGAAGCACAGGTTTGTATTTCATTTGCATGAAACAGGTTTTTCTGCAGCTGGCACATGGGCATTCAACATACCATTCTTATATTTAAATGAAGTGGGCTTTTTAGTACACGAATTTTCTATGCAGGTATTACACCTGTTCTTGTATTTTTGTGATTTTACTTTTTGGACAGTCAGAAACATGAAAGCTATGAATTTTCCTAAACTTACCTTGGATGTAAGTAAGCTATTTTCTTGCTCGCTTAGTTTTTTCTTTTTGTGTAGCTCTTTTTTTTTTTGCTCTGTTAATGTATTTTTAATTGTTATTATTTTTGTAGTGCTCTAGTTAAAATTTCATTATATATAGATATGTATTTTATTGCACTTAGGTTCTGGGGTACGTGTGCAAAACATGCAGGATTGTTGCATAGGTACATACATGGCAATGTGGTTTGCTGCCTCCATCCCCCCCTCACCTATATCTGGCATTTTCCCCCATGTTATCCCTCCCGAGCCAGCCTGTCTCCCAATATCCTTCCCCTACTCCCCGCCAACAGACCCCAGTGTGTGGTGCTCCCCTCCCTGTGTCCATGCGTTCTCATTGTTCAACGCCCACCTATGAGTGAGAACATGCAGTGTTTGAATTTCTATTCTTGTGTCAATTTGCTGAGAATGATGGTTTCCAGATTCATCCATGTCCCTACAAAGGACACAAACTCATTATTTTTTATGGCTGCATGGTATTCCATGGTGTATGTGTGCCATATTTTCCTTGTTCAGTCTATCACCAATGGGCATTTGGGTTGGTTCCAGGTCTTTGCTATTGTAAACAGTGCTGCAGTGAGCATACTTGTGCATGTGTCTTTGTAATAGAACAATTTATAATCCTTTGGGTATATACCCAGTAATGGGATTGCTGAGTCAAATGGAATTTCTATTTCTAGGTCCTTGAGGAAGCACCACACTGTATTCCACAGTGATTGAACGAATTTACATTCCCCCAACAGTGTAAAAGTGTTTCTATTTCTCCACATCCTCTCCAACATCTATTGTCTCCAGATTTTTTAATGATCACCATTCTAACTGGTGTGAGATGGTATCTCAATGTGGTTTTGATTTGCATTTCTCTAATGACCAGTGATGATGAGCATTTTTTCATATGTTTCTTGGCCTCATGTATGTCTTCTTTTGAAAAGTGCCTGCTCATATCCTTTGCCCACTTTTGGATGACTTTGTTTCTTTTTTCCTTGTAAATATGTTTTAGTTCTTTGTAGATTCTGGATATTAGCCCTTTGTCAGATGGGTAGATTGCAAAAATTTTTTCCCATTCTGTTGGTTGCTGGTTCACTCTAATGATTGTTTCTGTTGCTGTACAGAACCTCTGGAGTTTAATTAGGTCCTATTTGTCTGTTTTCGCTTTTGTTGCCAATGCTTTTGGTGTTTTAGACATGAAGTCCTTAGCTCTGCCTACGTCCTGAATGGTTTTGCCTAGGTTTTCTTCTAGGGTTTTTATGGTGTTAGGTATTATGCTTAAGTCTTTAATCCATCTGGAGTTAATTTTAGTGTAAGGTGTCAGGAAGGGGTCCAGTTTCTGCTTTCTGCACATGGCTAGCCAGTTTTCCCAACAGGGAATCCCATTTATTAAACGGAGAATCCTTTCCCCATTGCTTATTTTTGTCAGGTTTGTCAAAGATCAGATGGTTGTGGATGTGTTGCATTGCTTCCAAGGCCTCTGTTCTGTTCCATTGGTCTATATCTCTATTTTGGTACCAGTACTATGCTGTTTTGATTACTGTGGCCTTGTAGTATAGTTTGAAGTTAGGCAGCATGATGCCTCCAGCTTTGTTCTTTTTGTTTAGGATTGTTTTGGCTATGCAGGCTCTTTTGGTTCCATATGAAGTTTAAGGTGTTTTTTTCCAGTTCTGTAAAGAAGGTCATTGGTAGCTTGATGGGGATACGGTTGAATCTATAAATTACTTTGAGCAGTATGGCCATTTTCATGATACTGGTTCTTCCTAACCATGAGCATGGAATGTTTCTCCATCTGTTTCTGTCCTGTCATATTTCCTTGAGCTGTTCTGTTTATGTGGTGAATTACGTTGCATATGTTGAACCAGCCTTGCATCCCCAGGATGAAACCTAGTTGATCGTGATGGATAAGCTTTTTGATGTGCTGTTGTAATCAGTTTGCCAGTGTTTTATTGAAGATTTTTGCATATATGTTCATCGCGGATATTGGCCTGAAGTTTTCTTTTCTTGTTGAGTCTCTGCCGGGTTTTGGTATCAGGATGATGTTGGTCTCATAAAATGATTTGGAAAGGATTCCCTCTTTTTGTATTCTTTGGAATAGTTTCAGAAGGAATGGTACCAGCTCCTCTTTGTCTGGTAGCATTCAGCTGTGAACCCTTCTGTACCTGGACTTTTTTAGGTTGGTAGGCTATTAATTGCTGCCTCAACTCGAGCCCTTGTTATTGGTCTGTTCAAGGTTTCAACTTCTTTTTGGTTTAGTCTTGGAAGGGTGCAAGTGTCCAGGAATTTATTCATTTCTTCCAGGTTTACTGGTTTATGTGCATAGAGTTATTTGTAGTATTCTCTGATGGTAGTTTGTATTTCTGTGGAATCTGTGGTGATATTCCCTTTTATTGTTTTTTATTGCATCTATTTGATTATTCACTCTTTTCTTGTTTATCAACCTGACTAGCAGTCTGTCTATTTTGTTGATCTTTTCAAAAAACCAGCTCCTGGATTTATTGACTTTTTGAAGCTTTTTTTTATGTCTCTGTCTCCTCCAGTTCTGCTCTGATCTTAGTTATTTCTCGTCTTCTGCTAGCTTTGTTTTTGGTCTTGCTCCTTTAGCTCTTTCAATTTTGATGACAGAGTGTCGATTTTAGATGTTTTTTCACTTCTCTGGTGGGCATTTATTGCTATAAAATCTCCCCTAGACACTGCTTTAAATGTGTCCTAGAGATTCTGGTATGTTGTGTCTTCATTCTGATTGGTTTTGAAGAACATCTTTATTTCTGCCTTCATTTCATTGTTCATCCAGTTGACATTCAGTTGTTCAGTTTCCTTAAAGCTGTGCAGTTCTGAGTTAGTTTCTTAATTCTGAGTTCTAATTTGATTGCACTTTGGTCTAAGAGACTGTTTGTTGTGATTTCCATTCTTTTGCATTAGCCAAGGAGTGATTTACTTCCAATTACGTGGTCAATTTTAGAGTAGATGCCATGCAGTGTTGAGAAGAATATATATTCTGTGGAGATTTCTGTAGATGTCTATTAGGTCTTCTTGCTCCAGGTCTGAGTTCAAGTCCTGGATATCCTTGTTAATTTTCTGTCTTGTTGATCTAATATTGACCATGGGGTGTTAAAGTCTCCCACTATTATAGTGTGGGAGTCTAAGTCTCTTTGTATGTCATCAAGAACTTGATTTATGTATTTGGGTTCTCCTGTATTGGGTGCATATATATTTAGGATTGTTAGCTCTTTTTGATGCATTGATCCTTTTACTATTATGTAATACCCTTCTTTGTCTCTTTTGATCTTTGTTGGTTTAAAGTCCATTTTATCAGAGACTAGGATTGCAACTCGTGCTTTTTTTGCTCTCCATTTGCTTGGTAAATCTTCCTCCACCCCTTTATTTTGAGCCTATGTGTGTCGTTGAACGTGAGAAGGGTTTCCTGAATACAGCACACTGTGGGTCTTGACTTTTTATCCAATTTGCCAGTCTTTGTATTTTGTTTGGGGCATTTAGCCCATTTACATTTAAGGTTAATATTGTTTGTGAATTTGATACTGCCATTTTGATGCTAGCTGGATGTTTTGCTCATTAGTTGATGCATTTTCTTCATTGTATTTCAATTCATTTCTTCACTTCTACCATTTGGTACATTTTTGGAGTGGCTGATACTGGTTGTTCCTTTCCTCGTTTAGTGTTTCTTTCAGGAGTTCTTGTAAGGCAGGCCTGGTTGTGACGAAATCTCTCAGCAATTGCTTGTTTGTTAAGGATTTTATTTCTCCTTCACTTGTGAAGCTTAGTTAGGCTGGATATGAAATTCTGGGTTGGAGGTTCTTTTCTCTAAGGATGTTGAATATTGGCCCCCACTCTCTTCTGGCTTGTAGGGTTTCTGCAGAGAGATCTGCTGTGAGTCTGATGGGCTTCCCTTTGTGGGTAACCTGACCTTTCTCTTTGGCTGCCCTTAGCATTTTTTTCTTCATTTCAACTCTGGTGAATATGATGATTTTGTGGCTTGGGGTTGCTCTTCTTGAGGAATATCTTTGTGGTGGTCTCTGTATATCCTGTACTTGAATGGTGGCCTGCCTTGCTAGATTAGGTAAGTTCTCCTGGATAATATCCTGAAGAGTGATTTTCAGGTTGGATTCATTCTCTCCATCACATTCAGGTACACCTATCAAATGTAGATTAGGTCTTTTCATATAATCCCATATTTCTTGGAGGCTTTGTTCATTTCTTTTCACTCTTTTTTCTCTACTCTTGCCTTCTCATATTTCATTGAGTTGATCTTCAGTCTCTGATATCCTTTCTTCTGCTTGGTCGATTCGGCTATTGAACCTTGTGTATACTTCGCAAAGTCCTTGTGCTGTGAATTTCAGCTCCATCAAGTCATTTCTATTCTTCTCTAAGCTGTTGATTCTAGTTAGGATATCATCTAACCTTTTTTCTGTGTTCTTAGTTTCTTTGCATTGGGTTAGCACATGTTCTTTTAGCTCTGTGAAGTTTATTACCCACCTTCTGAAGCCTGTTTCTGTCAGTTCATCAGATTCATTCTGCATCCATCTTTGATCTTTAGCTGGTGAGGAGTTTTGATCCGTTGGAGGAGGAGAGGCATTCTAGTTTTTGGTGTTTTCATTCTTTTTGTGCTGGTTTCTTCTCATCTTACTGGCTTTATCTACCTGTGGTCTTTGTAGTTGGTGACTTTTGGATGGGGTCTCTGAGTAGACATCCTTTTTGTTGATGTTGAAGCTATTTCTTTCTGTTTCTTAGTTTTCCTTCTAACAGTCAGGCCCCTCTGCTGC